CTTATGGCAGAGTTAGACATCTTTCTCCCTGTGTGAGGAGAAATGTTAGCATAGCTTCTGTCCGTCTGAAGGAGGCCGTTCTGAGAATGTAGCATTTGAGTGTTCTCCTCACATCCAGTGTATGCCAAACTTTTTCCTTTGGATGGGTTGGATTTGGAGAAAAGGATGGCAAACAAATCTCTTGTGATCTGTGAAACTTAGTACTGACCTTTGGGCAAAAGGTGGGATCTGTTCTCAGAACTACCTTGTTTTTGTAAAAAACACAGAGCGCTGACTGCATCGACGGAGCGCCTAGTTCTGAAATCCTCCTGGCTGAAGTAATGGCTACCAGGAACAAAGTCTTCATCGTCAGGAACTTGAACAGAACGCCCTTTATTGGATCAAAGGGTTCCTTTGTAAGAGCTGTGAGGACAGTATTAAGCCTCCAAGTTGGAAGCCTATGTCTCTGTGGAGAATCCTTGAATGATGCCCCTCTGAGGAAATGGCAAATAAGAGAGTGCTGAGAGATGGGAAGACCATTGTACTGGGCCAGGACCGAAGCCAGGGCCGCCATCTGTCTCTGCCCTGAGACTGTCCTGTAGGAACTCCAGCAGTAATCTAATTTCTGGATGCAATGGGTCAGCCTTCTTCCACCGAAGCCATCGAACAAAGGCCCTCCAAGTAGCATTGTAGATCCTTGAGGTAGACGGCCTTCTAGAGACCATGATCGTATCGATCTGGCTCTTTGTAGCCTAGCTTTGATAGCTTGTCCCTTTCAATCTCCATGCGACTAAGCAGAACCACCCTGGCCTGGGATGCCACATCGGAACTTGAAGCTACCGCCATCACCTCTAGCGATGTGAACCAAGGATGACGAGGCCAGTACGGTGCCACCACTATGATCTCTGCCTTTAGAACTCGTATCCTCCAGAGAAGCTTGGGAAGTACAGGAAAAGGAGGAAATGCATAGAGGAGCCCCTCAGGCCAAGGGGACAGAAGGACATCTGTGGCCTCCACCTGGGGATGAAAATATCTGGTGTAAAATCTGTACAGTTGGTCGTTGAGTGGAGAGGCAAACAGGTCTACCTGTGGAGTTCCCAGTGTTGCCACTATGAGCCGGAAAAACTTTCTTGTGTAGGGACCATTCGCCCTCCTGGACTGTCTGGCAGGTCAGCCAATCTGCTTGGGTGTTGATGACTCTCTTCACATGCTCCACCCTGATTGATGCCAGATTGGATTCTGCCCACTTCAATAAGTGAGTCACTTCCCTGTGTAGAGCGAAGGACCTGAAGCCCGTTTATTGAGGTAAGCCTTCGCTGAGATGTTGTCCGTCCGAACAAGGATGTGGTTCCCCCTGATCTGAGGGGCGGAGTGTTGAAGGGCCAGCCTGGTGGCTCAAAGCTCCAGGAGATCGATTGGCAGTTTCCTTTCTGCTATGGACCATCTGCCCTGCACTGGTTGATGGAGTAATGTCCACCCCCAGCCTGATAGTCTGACGTCAGTGAAGATTTGGATCTGGTCCTGGATCCAAAAGGACTTGCCTTGAGACAGATTGTTCTGCTCGGTCTACCAGTGCAGACTTAATTTCACCTGGAGAAGTACCTTCAAGGAAAGATCTATCCATAAGGCAATAGAGCTTTGGTATGGCCATAAAAATAGTTGTAGTTGTCTGGAATGAAATCTTCCCCACTGTAGTGTCGAAAGCCGCAACCATGAGGCTTATTGTCTTGGTCAGGGTGGATAAGGATGAAGTCCTTGCTTGAATAATTTGGTTGGCCAACTCTTTGATCTTTCTGGCCTTTTTGACAGGAAGATAAAAATGTGTAGCTCGACTGTCTATCACCACTCCCAAGTGTTCCAGACGCTGTATGGGAGTCAGAGAGCTTTTCTGCATGTTCACCAGGAAACCGAAGTATTGCAAGCACTGTGAATGTGAATCCCTTGGACTCAAAGACAAATGACCAGATGAACCAGGATCTTTGTAAACCACCCGGGCAGCTGATGAGAGGCTGAAGGGTTCAGATGAAGCTCCCCCCATGCAGAAACATTGGAATCTCAAATGGTGTAAGAAGGTTGGAATGTGCATGTGTTGGGAAATGAACTAATTTATGGTTTTATATCTGCTACACACACAACACATGGACTGTGCACACGTTTGTATACCATGAGCCAAAGGAAGCTCTTTGCATTACCTACTGTGAAAGCCTTCACATAGGGAACACTTGCCTGCATTTTATGTTAATGTAGCTTGCACACATTCAGCTCAAGGCATTATGGGTAGAAGAAGCACATGTTAGCCATTCTGAGCAGAACAACAACCAAGAAGGAGAAATTCCCCCATTACTAAAGAGATGAGATGTCACGCAGGACATGGACCTGATATGCATCTGAATTGCTGTTTCCTGTTGATGGTACCTTGAATGCCTGGGAAAGCCAAGATTCATCTGTACTTCAAAGAGGATGCAGGAAGTCGACATTTCACACCTGGCCAGATGGTATTCCATGAGATAGAGTGTAGAGTTTCAAATATCGCCCCACCCATAGAATACCTGCCCCTTTCCACATGCACCAATAGGGAGGTCGTGGGATGGACTTGTAAGTAGGTGGGATTACAGATTGGCAAGGTGCCACCCACCTGGAGATTCAACTATAAAACGCAAAGACCATGCATTAAGGCTTTTGCTAGCCACATTCTACCATCAACGCAAAGACCATGGTTCAGGCTAGCCACCTCTCCTCTCATCAACTCCTTTATACTTTGAATTCCTTTCTTGCTATGCAACAATCCTTTCTGTCTATTATGGATCTCTTTGGACTGCAGTCAAAGACATCCACACATCCAAACACACACACACACTTGACCGGCTGGATCTGGAACAGTGTGATTTAGGTAACACTTCTAGACACTATTTTCTGCCCTTTTATTTTTCATTGCAACAGACAGGACTTCTGGAACAGGCGAGTATAAACCGATTTACCTACCTACCTCCTAAGTAACTAAACTATTTTATTTCTACTTCTGTAACTCTAAAGGAAACTTGAACGTATGCGAAGTGAGACTGATGTTTTTGTGTGTATGTAACTTTGATATCCTTCAGCAAAAAAAGATTATTTGTTTTGGAAAAACACCCGTGTGGCCTCCATTACTGGAACTCTGGGTTCAGACACGACCTTGGTATAGCTGGACAGGACTCACGTTAAAATTTAGTTAGCCTCTGCTGTAAATAAAGCAGTTGGTGTAACACATGTATGCCTCTGTCAAGCTGATGGGAGGAAAGGAACTCCCAGGGTTGTAAGGATTCCACAATGGATCTGATGGTCTCCATGTGAAAGTGACTGGGTTCGACATATCTGTTTAAGTATTTCAAATCTAGGATAACCCTTCAATCCCCATTCTTTTGGGGGATCGTGAAGAAGATGGCGTAGACCCCAGTCTCTTGTTCGTTTACAGGGACAGGTTCTATCGCCTGAATGTCCAATAAGTGATTAATTGCAGATCTGGTTCTGTCTCTCTTTATTGGGTTTTTGTGCATTGGAGAGACAATGAAACGCTGAAGTGGGATTCAGCCCCATTATATCCTATGGGCCATTAAAGTCAATGGCGAAAACATAGGGTATATTCTGGGGGCTGGAGGGGAGGGGGTTTGAGGGAGAGGCTCCAAACTCGCAGGGTAGCTGCTGGAGCCTCTCCCCAAGATACCAACCAGGTTTGAAGAACATTGGACCAGGGGGTCCAATCCTACAGGCCCCCAAACAGGTTGCCCCTATCCCCTCCATTGTTCTCTATGGTGGGAAAAAGTAACTTTTTAAATTTGCTCTTACACAGCAAATACTGAAAATCCTTGCCCTTGAAAACTCTGTGACAATCATTTCCCCCCTCTTTATTGTCACTACATGAAAATTCCCCCCCTCCTTTTCACTAGAGACATGTGAGAAGCTATCCCTCTCACGTGAAGGCGGATCAAATAGGTAATGCTCCTTGGGGAACCCTTTTTGTGCAGCTTTGGTGGGCCAGCTGCCTCTGTTCTTGCGCCTCTGAGGAGAGGTGAAGGGGAAGGAGGAGGATCTAGTAGACCCACAGCCCCGATCTGCAGAAATGTGCTATTTCCTCCCCCATGGCTCTTCTAAAGAAGGCCATCACATTTGGAGATAAGGGGACAGACCCGGAAGCCTCAAAGTTACCGCTCTGCAACTCGTCAACTTCCTCGTCCCCTTGAGCATTATTGACACAATCACGCCCAGCTCGATGATCCCCGCTAAAACCATAGGTCTCGGGGTGTGCCATGTGTGGGATTAGGCTTTGCTTGCCATTCCCATCTTAAAGCATAGAGTGGCCAGTGGACTCCAAAATGGCCACTGAGGCTCTGTATATGCTGCATGGGTGTGCAACTTTTTGGTGTGCTTTGGAATGCCACCCTCGCCTTGCTTGGCTGGTTAAGCGTTGGCCACTGCTGCAGCCCTCTTTTTTTGCTATGCAGTCTCTTTTGTCTCCAGGGAGCCCAGCAGCGTCTATCTCCAGAGTGGAGAGAAATCCATAGCTATCCTCTCTTGATGCCATGGAGGACAGTCTGGGAGATCCCCTCCTGTTAAGAGAGCAACCGGCTCGGCAATCCTCAGCCTCCAAGGGGGGGAGGGAGAAGAGAGAATAAGGTACATGAAGGAAGAAGAAAAGGATTTTTTAAATTCAGAATTTTAATTCAGAAAGAGAGGGAACAGCAAATGAAGATGGAAGGAGAAAGTGAAAGTTAACTCAGAAAGATAGGGTTAGGCAGAGCCTACACCCAGCTGCTCTCCCTACTGAGGCAGGAAAAGAACTGAGCCTAGGGTGACTCCCACTACAGGAAAGAGGAAGTAATTGAAATTAGTCTTGCCTCTCTAAGTGATGGTTGGGAATCACCCACAAGATGTCCTCCACCTCAGAGGGAGAAATGGGACCTAATGATGAGAAGTTTTTGCTTCAATAGCATTTAGGCAGGCAGTACTGCTAAAATTTTTGTATCACTGACATGACACCAACTTACCAAACAGTTTAGCGTCTTCTACAAACTTCTGTGTCCTCCGCCTGACATTTTCAGAATCTGCCAGCGCTTTTTGGTATCGTTCCTGCACACATAGCAAGAGGCAAAGACATTAGACACGGTACATTTCTTCTTGTACACCTGTAATCCACTCAGGCAAGATCTCTGGTTTTTACCAGAATATTCAGCAAAGAGATACAAGGTTACTTGAAACAACAGAACAATGAGTGCCTTATAATGTGGCACATTCGTTCAGATAAGCAGGACTGGAGACAGCTTGTTAGATGACTGCATTCTTTAGCTGCTGCTTTGTCTGAGGCACCTCTAAACTTCTATTATTGATATATTTTAACTGGTTTATTTCTTGTTGCTGAAGAGACTGAAAATGTACTGTAAAAATTCGTGCTGTGGAACAGAGCAAAGGAAAAATACTGCAGAACTGTGGAAGCCATACTTCTTACAAAAATAATTATTTACACTTTGCTGTCATTGCCCTTCTCTATACTGCCTGACTACTACACAGAAAGGAGCTCCAGGTCGCCGCCGAAGGCAATGGTGACCGTGGGCTGTTGCTGCCACAGAGGAGGGCGGGGCGGCAACAGCGCCGCAGCGCAGCACGCTGGGGCGTGGGCGGGGAGGAGCCAGCCTAGTTAGGCTCGGCTCCGCTCCCACCCAGGCAGTTGCTGCCTCGTGCTCGGAGAAGCAGGATGCTGTGGACGAGGGGCTGCGGTTGCCGGACGGGCCTGCACGGCAACCTGACGGCGGCGGCAGCAGCGGCATCGCGGGACACAGCAGCGTCGTCGGATCGGGCGCGCTGCCCAGCGCCGGCGAGTGGAGAAGCGGGGCAGCGGCTTCACGATTGGGAAGGACAGCAATGCCAGGGAGTACTCGGGGCTCACGCGGGAGCAGGGCTTGGAGGCCAGGGGTTGTTAAAAACCGCCGGGTCTGGGTCGAGGCACCGAGGGGGCTTGCGGCGAAGCCCAGGGACGAGAGGCTGTGGGGATGCTGGACTTTTCCCCTGGGAAGGCCTTCATGCTGGGGTGTGAGTTTCCCAGCCCGATAGGGCCTTTGCAGAAGGAGTGCAGTTCCAAGAACCAAGTTTAATTAGCTCGGTTTAAGGGAAGGCAAAAATTCCCCGCCCCCCAACCTTTAGCATTTTTTGTATTACCTCTCCCCTCGTGGGCTGCCATTTGGCTGCCAACGGCCAGTTCCGGAGGGAGACCCCCCCCCCTTTTATGCTTGTATTCAGCTCAAGGGAGGTGCTACACCAGACGCCATTTGGTGGCTGAAAGACTGGCAGTCAATTTTATTGGGACCGATTTACAGGCAAGAGACCCTTGGAGAGACTCTCTGTTACAGAGGGACTGCTGCTCACTAGTGTATCCTCTGCCTGGCCTTTATTGGGCTTGGGCTCCAGTGTTTAGACGCTGAACTGCAGCCTGGATAAGGTCGGTGGTTCCACAGTCTGAGACCTGAGTGACACGGGACGGAGTGAGCTCCCGGTCCCTGGCCCCAGCTCCTGCCAACTTAGCAGTGGAAAACAAGGACGTGCAAGTAGACAAATAAATTGGATTCCATTAGAGACTTCATACATTTAGGGGATGGCTCCTGGAAAAGGTCAAGGCAAGGATAAGGGCAAACAGCCTGTACCTAAGAAGCCTTCAACTAGACCTGCACCGCCGTGTCCCGGGGATGAGGAGGGGGATCCGATTAACGCCGCTATCTTGGCAAGGCTAGAAGCCCTTGAGAAACAGAGAGTTAGGCCACAACAGGGGACTCCCACTCCATCTCAGGCCAAGAAGGCTAAACAGTCTGATATTTCTTCTTTTCAAGCGCAGATCTTGGCGCGTTTGGCGCTCCTCGAAGACAGTCAATCGTCCAGTTCGGGGACAGCTGATGTGGATACCGGGGCTGTGCCAGAAGGCGAAGGAAGTCAACAGTTGGAGCTGTACACGGGCCCCAAGCGTCCTTCGGGGCAGGAGGGTAAGGCTAGCGATGGCACTCAGAGGGACACATCATGGCCATGGGGTCCGGGCAATCAGGACACATCGGGGACATCTCCTTCAGGCAAGGTTGCCCCAGCTGGGAGTGGGGCTTCTCCATCACCCGTGGCCTGGCACTTTGTGCCGTCCGTGGCGGAAAGGGGGGCATGGGGGGTGGTACACACCTCATAT